ACCAGGCCCAAAGTATAAAGCTCCTCATAATACTTATAATGAAAGATAAATAGTATTTTAATTTCCAGAACAATCTTGAGAAAATAATAGATGAGACCATTGAATCCCTTTCTTCTAAGACTCTAGCAATATGAAGACTACTTGAATTTTGCATTACAAGTAAAAACAAAAACAAAAAAATAATGTTAAATGCTATTTCCAGAGGTTTGAATTAAAGATTCATGAGAAGACACTTATGAAGAGAAATGACTATCACACACCAATTTTATTAATAGCTATGACCAAAACTGACAGCTCTTAAGTCTTAAACTAAAATTTTAAACCAAGTTTATAAACTAAAATTTAAATGCATGTTCACAGTTTCCAGTGTTTATAAAAGAGCACCCTTTGGGGAAGGTGTATCTATCAAGATGCATTCATATTAGTATTGAATAAAAAGGAAGACATATTTACACTTAGATATCTCTCTGTTCTCTAGTTCAGGATATATCTAAACAAAGCCAATAAAATTAATACAGAATAGCTCATATGGCCCAGCTTTCTATTATAGATCGTTGCTTTCTACCCATGCATCACTATCCAAAACAAAAAAGTGCTATTCACTTCTTTCCTTTTGTGCTTTTAATTATTTGGCTATCTTAGGTCAAATGGTAGCAATCTTCTTGTCAGTAGCAAAAATACGTAAAAGTATTACATGTTTTTGATAACTACTAAATGTCTTTAATTTAGTAAATATGTATGAAATCACTTAGAGCATACATTTCTTAATGATTTTAAGTTTAACACCTACTTCAGCAACTGGGCAGTTTCAACACATTTCCTGCAAATTGAAGAAAACAGATAACACTTTTAAGGATAGAAAAAAAATGCAATCATTACATACAGAGCTGACCTAGCTGATTATAAAAACCTGCACAAGCCTTTACCAGCTTGCTAATCTGAATATTATAATATTTTTGCGTACATAGTGTCAGTTTTTTTAAAGAAAGACAATGTTCTACTTTTGAGAACTACTAAACCCCTCAGTCAAATCACTTTCACACCATAAAATAATGCAGCTTTAGGTTTTCATTCATTTTGTTTTAGGTTAAGGAACAACTGACAGAATACACACTTAGCTCAAACACATACGCATGTGATGAGCAAAATGTCACTTTCTTTACACACTGCTCTTGTCACTGTTTCTCAACACAGCTCTCTCTGTGCATATAAAATGCGGAAATAGATATTTCCATCTCTAGGCTGTGTGAGTGAACACAGATCATGAATTTGTTGTGCTCATTTTCAAAATAAATATCAAGTCAAGACCTTTACCCATGATGCCTTAAGTTTAAAAGGTAGCTTGTAAGCAAGAGGTTTCTGCTCTTCCATAAACCATTCTATGCCTGAAAATAACTGTAAGATTAACAACCATAGATAGATAGATAGATAGATAGATAGGTATAAAGATCTATCTATATAGCTTTAAAAACAGTCTCCAAGCACACACTTCTTTAGTTTTATTATGAATTTCTAATTTAGTCATATCTCACTAAGTTTCTTTTTATACTCTTCCATAACCACCTTATATGCTCACAAACACATGTACAATTACAGAGCTGCCAGAAATCACAAGTCAGATTTGGAAAACTGAATAAGCTAAAGCTAGACTGAAGGTAATTCAGCTACTTACTTACTAGCCTTAAACAGTGATGATACAAGCCATTACCATGTCCTCTGTTTTGGCAAGATTCCCAAACTAGAACTGGCCTTTCAAAGAGTCAGAGCCAGAATTTGTGGCTGCAGCAGTTTTTTTTTTTTTCCATCCACATGAATGCCCCAAGCTCTCAGAACTAGCAGATTGTAATGCTGTTGGTAACACTGGGCCCTTGAGTCAAATGAAAGGGCCAGGGAATTGATTACATATTCTTTATTCTTTCGCAAGTCTTACTTAGTGAGGGCTCTTAGAATATCTGGCATCATGTTAGGCACTTCACAATGGCCCTACATCTGAGTTTTATGTAGCAATTCAAAGATCTATTCAATCCCTCGTCACAGCCAAAGCCTTTGCTAGCAAGCCGTGTCTTGGCAGGATTACACTACTGAGCAGATGGAGTTAGGGGATGCCTGTGAAACTGAAAGCAAAAGCACAAATACCCATCAGGACCACACTAAGACAAAGAACAGCAACAAACAACCCAGGTTAAACCGGCATAAACTTTCAAAATTTACAAATTGGGAGATTCTACCTTCTGAAAAATGTAGTTTCCATATTTCAAGAAGTTTCCAAGATATTTTACAAGAAAACAATAGAAAAAATACAGCAAAGAAACCAAAATTATCAAAAGTATACAATTTAACCCCCAAAAATTTACAGTCTCAACTGTGTTTCAGGTATGTCCAAACACTCATGCTTCCCAGGCAGACATCTTACAGTTGACAAGTCACATTCACTTAATCTTATATTGATTTTGTAAGAAGCTTCCTGTTTCTATGACGACCCTCATCAATTAACTTCTTGTAAGTAGAAAGACAATTTTCTCCTTCTCCAATGAAGTTGAAATATTTTCTCTTTACAGTAAAGCATCTGATATTACTTCTTACCCATCAATAAACATGTTAAGTTTGTTAAAATAGCTGGTACCTTTCATGTTTTGAAAATATTTGTAGATTCTGCACTGAGGAGGCATAGAATTGCCTTGGATCAAAAGTAACAGTAGATTATCAGTTCATACTTGTGTTTACATAGATCTTTTCAGTTACCTGCAAAAACATATATCTTCTCTTTGACCCCAGAGAACTAGGAAGCAGGGTATCAAAGAGGCTGCTCACAATAGGGGGACCTTTGCTGTCAACAGTGTACAACCACAGGCCAGCTACCATGATTTTTTTAGTTTAATATGCACTGTTCACCCAAATGGGGAAATGACCTTTATGAGGATTGAGAGATAAATGGAGCTTAGCCATCTTTCCTTAGGGACAGACCAGGATCAACCAAAACAACATTCATGAAATACGCTGGTCTTTGCAGTCAGACAACCCAGACTCAAACCTTACCATGTACTGGGAAAACTTGGCTAAGTATCTTAAACTCTGACATTTCATTCCTTATCCTAGAACACAGGATTGATATAGTTAATGGTAGTTTTGGAATTCTCTAGGTCCAACTTTTCCTCCCTTGAACAAGTCCATTATTTTATCAAAAGATTTTTTTTCCAAAATGGGAGAGTAGTCATTACACCATCCTGTCCTGAACTTTCTTTCCTATGCCTGAAGACCACAGCCAGAGTATGCAACAAACAGTCTTCCATCTCATACACTGAGATCTGAGTCTGGCCTCCCAGACTCATCTCTGTTTATTTCCTTGGATTCATTCCTCATGGTAGCCATGACAAAGCAGACTCATGATGTGTTCCCCACCTCCTATAGTCCTGTATTTGTCCAAAGTATTCCCCAAGTCCCCGTGTCTGAAGCCTCTTCCTGTACTTGTTCCCGCAGCAAGCAAACTTTGACTCAGCTCTCAAAGCCCACGACATCTTTACCAAAACCACCTTTCCAGCTAGGTCTGGAGCTTCTTTCAAAAGAAAGCAATATTAAATGTTAGCAAAGAAGCAATCTCCTTTTATCTCTAGTTTCCAAAGTGACAGCATATTTTCTTCAGAGTCCAGTGTGTAAATATCTAGACTTTATTTAACCATAGAGATGTGATTGGAAATAAATACAATGGACAAATCTAGAATACGAGCATTCAGACTCCCAAAGTCAATCAACTATAATCATCACATAGTAGGTAGTCACACATTATAAAGAAACAATGTACATCTAGACAAATATGCCTTATGAAAAATCGCAGCAAATAAGCTACATAGATTATATACATATTTACCCTCTCTCAATCCTTAGCAATCGTCTCTGTAGTTAATAAAAAATGTTTAAGACAGGAGTGAGGTTGATTCGCCAAGAGCAAGTCAGAACTCTTGAATCAAATAAAGCCTATGTGGAAAAGAAAGATCTGTGAATCTTAGTCCACAGGCAAAAGTCAAACTGCATTTGATTTGTCTGAGATGTTCTTTCATCAGGAGGAGTGACTCACTATTAGAGGGTCAGCAGTCCTCAATTTTAACTTGGTTAGAAATTACTCTGGAGTGGAGAACTGGATTATTCGTTGTCATAAATACCTGGCACAGTAATTTAATTTGTTTTATAATAAAATATTCAAGTGGGGCTGGGAAGGTGGCTCAGTGGTAGAGTGCTTGCTTTGCATGCATGAGACCCTGGGTTTGATTCCTCAGCACCACATAAGCAGAAAAAGCCAGAAGTGTCGCTGTAGCTCAAGTGGTAGAGCACTAGCCTTGAGCGGAAGAGCTAAGGGACAGCACCCAGGCCCAGAGTTCAGGCCCCATGAACAATATTATCACTTAGGTAAATTTGCAAATCTTTCTAGGAACTCAAAATCAATCCCTTAAGCACTAAAAACAAAGTAGCATGTAGTATAGAGAAAGCAGAAGCACATTCTAAAAGTTATACAAGAACTTCACCATAGCAGGAATATGACATGAAACATAATACTTTTTTTTATTCTTTGTAATATTCCCAAGCAGTTACTTATCATTCCCTAGAAAATGCGCTATATATGAATTCTATATAACAAAAAGAAACACCCTAATTAAGTGTGAAGAAACAAGTCAATAATTCAAAACAGTGACTTTTATACGATAGAGAGCAAAAAAGAAAACATTGATTAGCCTTAGGCAATGTGAATATATTACTGATCCATACAAACCAAGTTTACTAGGTTAAATGGAGTAATGAAACAAATATTTAGTCAATAAATATGAGAAATAAGAAGACAAAAACAAATAGCTCATAATGCGAATCTAAAAAATGTTTCATGTGTCACGTCAACATAAAAGTCAGCTTTATACAAATCTTTGTTGATGTAGTGTTTTAGAATTTGTGCTCAAAACTATAATGTCTTGTATTTTGTTATTCTATGGGACATTCTGTATTATGACACATACAGTAGAAATCTAGAAATAGCAATCCATGAATTCTTACCTGTAAGCCTTCAATGGCTAGTCGCAACATGCTGGGTGTAAGTTTAGAGGCTTGCTTGAAGGTGAAGTTACTCCAGTCTATGATCAAAACAAACCCATTTACTTGAAGCTCGGGATCTTCAATCATAGCTTCTAAAGAAAGTAAGATGGCACGCAAAATATCCACCAATGTGTACCTAACAGCAACAGAGAAGTTCTGAATTAAACTTGAAAACTACTTTTGTAGAAACCATACAAAAGTTTCCATTTCTTTTTTAGCACATTGATTACCTTTAAAATATTTCAGAAATAATGAAGAAAAGATACGTGTGTGCAAAACTGTTTTAAAGAAGTTTACCTTATGTGGACTCTGGGACATTTTAGAATTTAAAATCTTAGAATATTAATTTCTTAATATCTTTCACTCCAATTAATAGCAATGCTTTCAAAAGTACACTTTGTTTCAAATTTTATATTCATTTAATTTTCTCTTAGGACATCTTGTGATTTTTCAAAAATCTCACTTCAACTACCCTCAAAAGTTGGCATTGAATACCTATCAAAATTCCAACCTCATTCTTCAAGGAAATAGAAGAGGCAATCCAAAAATTCATATGGAACAATAAAAGACCCCAAATAGCAAAAACGCTCCTCAATGGAAAGAACACTGCTGGAGGAATATCAATACCAAACTTCAAACTCTACTATAAAGCCATAGTAATCAAAACAGCTTGGTATTGGCAT